TAGTTAATAATAATGTATACTGGATATTTGCTAAGATAGTAGATTTCAGGTACTCTTATCACAAAAACAAAATGCTAACTATGTGAGGAGATGGATATATTAATTAGCTTGACTGTAGTAATCATTTCACTGTATATGTACATAAAACATTTTGTATACCTTACATATGTGCAGTTTTTATTTTTAAAAACTCAGTTGGCTATAGATGCATGGTTTCTAAACTTTCAATACTATTCCATTGGTGTATATGGCTGTCCTTATGCCAGTACCACACTATTTTGATTTCTGTAGCTTTGTAGTAAGTTTTGAAATCAGGAAATGAATCTTCCAACTTTGCTCTATTTTTTTCAAGATTTTGTTAGCTATTCAAAGTCCATGCAATTCCATGTGAATTTTAGCATCAGCTTTTCCATTTCTGCAAAAAGGCCATTGGAATTTTGATAGGGATTGTGTTGAATTTCTAGATTGCTCTGAGTAGTATTGACATTTTGATACTATTGTCTTCTTATCTATGAGCATGGGATGTCTTATTTAATTATCTTTCAGCAATGTCTTATAATTTTCAGTGTACTAGGCTTTTACCTCCTTGGTTAAGTTTATTCCCAAATATTTTATTCTTTTAGACGCTATTGTAAATGGAATTGCTTTCTTAATTTCCTTGGTTACTTATTCTTAATAATAATGGTAATAATTATTGTTATAGTACTAGTTAACATTTTTTGAGTATTTATATTCAGACACTGCTATGCTAAGCATGAATATGCCTTACTTAATTCTTTTTTCTCCTATATTTTCAACTTTTCCTTTTCTCCTGGATTCTGTCTTTAAATATCTTTGATTTTTTTTCATCCTAAAATTATCCTCTTTCAACCCTACTTTTCCCTCCAACTATTCTCTTTCTCTCATCATCCCTTCATAACCAAATTTCTTGGAAATGTTGACTGCATTTTTTGTTTCCTTTGCATTCAAGCTTCTGGCTTCTGGCTCTACCACCCACTTCACAGCTCACTGGTGCTTTGTCACTGAAATCCTCATGTTAACATTCAGTTGCATACAGCACAGTTCACCACTCCATCCTGAAATATTTGTCCTTTGCCTTTGTGACATCATACTCTCTTCGTTTTTTCCTCTCTTTCTGATTGCTTGTTCTTTGTCTTTGCTAGCTCATCCTACTCTACCAGTCCTTTAACTAGGGGAGTTCCTCATGGCTTTGGCCTATGCCCTCTTCTATATTCTGTCCCATGTGACCTGATCTTTTTCCATGGCTGCAGTTAAACTCTGACAACTCCTAAATTTAATCCTTAATCCCAGATTCATCCTTTGAGCTTCAGATTCATATATCCAACCATCAGCATCTTCACTCGGTTGTCTTATAGATGAATTCATGATCTTTTTTACTTATATCCCTGCTCTTCCCTCTTTCTGCTACTTTCATGGGGAGAAACTGTAGTTCCCTAATGTGCCTTAGATAACATATTAATCCATTCAGTTGGATAAGCTAGAAATTTAGAAGTCATTGACTCTTCCTTCTTCCATATCATTCAATATCCAATGAACCACTAAGTCCTACAGAGTATATTTTTCAAATAACTCGAATCTGTCCAATTTTCATTTCTACTGCCAACAACGTAGTCTCTTTGTTATAGTCCTTCCTCTGGTGTGAGGATCGGGCCTGCCTGTCAGCCTCGTGGTCTTTGGTTTTCAGCTCCACATCTCCTATAGGCCATGGCCGAAACCAGCAGGACATAGCTCTAAATCCAGGCTTAGGGAAAAGAAAAATCTCTCTTGTTTTTTTTTTTTTTTTTTACTTTTTATCTTTTTTCGTGACCGGTAACGGGATCGCAATCCTCGGTGTCACACCCGTACCACGACCGGCAACGGGATCGCAACCCTCGGTGTCATGCCCGCACCGCGCTCAACCAGTGAGTGTACCAGTCTCTATATGGGATCTGAACCCTCGGCGAGAGCACCTCCGCGCTCCCAAGCGCTGCACTCTACCGAGTGCGCCACCAGGCAGGCCCAAACATTCTTTTTTTTGAGACCGGCTGCACGGCGCTCAGTCAGTGAGCACTGTGAGCGCACCGGTCATCCCCATATAGGATCCGAACCCGCGGCGGGAGCACCATGTTTGAAGAGTGCCTCATCTGCTGAAATGCAATCTGCCTGTGACTTAAACTTTTTACATCCTTATCTAGGGCAATTTTGTTCCTTTTAGCCATATCTCTAATTCTAGATCCATTTATTGGGGATAGCAGGAACTCCAGAAAAAGGAACAGACTGCCCCAAAGATATACTGACATTTCCACTACTTCACACAAAAACAGAAAACCTCATGGTCTTAAAGGACATATTGCCATCTTGTTGGAGCGAACTTTCTGACACTCCTGTTTGTTTTCTACTTTACTAAACCATTTTCAGAGAATACTAAGATTTCTGCATAGGTTCTTATAACAGCAGTGTGTGTGTGTGTGTGTGTGTGTATGTGTGTGCGTGCGCACGCGCACGCACGCACACGCAACTGGTCTGTTCAGGGATCTGAATCCTTGATCTTGGTGTTATAATAATACTGCGCTCTAATCAACTGAGCTAACAGGTCAGCTCCTGAACAGCAGTTCTTAACGTAGGTTCATGAATAGGCTTTAAAGAAAAGATATGGGAACTCCTGAAATTGTGGGTGGTGGTGTGATTTGGGACTTTTTACTTCTCTAAGCACTCATTTCCTCATCTATAAAATGGAGTTTATAATAGTCCCTGTCTCATAGGATTACTGTGAGGATTAAATGGGATAATTAAATAGATATAAAAAGCCAAGTACAGTGCATGGTACAGAGTTATTTTAATATAACAGGGATTACAGTATAAGAAAAAGGCAATAATGTCTGGAGCAACATATGGAAGAGGGAATTAGACCTACTCCTACTAAGTAAACTTTTTATAAAGTATATAAAATAGATTTTATACTTTATATACTGTTAAAGTATATGTGGACAAATAGGAATAGTAGAAACTCAACTCAAAGCATAAGTTTCTTTTATTTAAGATGGCTTTAATTCAGCATCCTGAAGTTCCTGGGACTACGACAGGGGCTAAATTATAACTGAACTAGAGCTAGGGAAGCATGAATAATTAATGGTTGATAAATATAATAGGGTCCAAATTTGTTCATAATACAACTCAGATGAGTATAGAAAATTTCTTAATTTAGTTCTAGCAGACCTGTCTTCTTTGTGAGTGCTCTCCTCCCCCACCATCCATGTCATGATCATTGCCGGAGATATGGTGCAAACTAACCAGGTGTTCCATCTGTTCACCTAATTCTGAAAATTTAAATATCTCCTTCAAATAATTCTCAGGTCTCTTGAATAAGAATGCTCAGTGTTTTAGCCTGTTCTCCCCTGTGCTTCTCTCCCTAAGATGGCATTCAGTGTATTGTGGTTTTTTCTTTGTGTAGCTTTCTTTTATTGCATCCCATGGAGTTGAAGGATATGACTGGTTGGAATCTGCTCTCCCTTGTCCACCTTACCCTGCCTAACCTGCTGGCCCTCGATGGTGAAGTCCTTGGCTGGAATAACTCATAGTCTGGTCTTGCTTCTGGTTCAGAGCATGGAGGGACTTTCACTTCATCTCATCTCCCACTGGCATTATAAACCCTTGTTGAGGCTGCTAGGTCTACCATCTAGCTTGCTAGCCTGGTGGCCTGTCGTTATCCTCAGTTTTGGGGCCAGTTTCCTACAGTGACTGACCTACATTGGCTTTCAATGCAGGACATATGCCACATGAGACCAAGGAGTCCAATTAGTCTCTTTCCTAATTGTACCTCTCTACTTTTCCAGCGAGGCTGGGCAGTCCCACGTGGGTGTAGGGCCTCTGCACTGCAGTCTGCATTCTCTCTCCCAAATGGATTACAGACCCTCTGCCCTCACTGATAACTTTACTTATCACCCCCTTTCAGGGCCAAAACTCAGAGAGGGCAGTTGGGACACAAGTCTTTCTTACTGTCTCTTTTCTTTTCACTGCCATTCTCGGGGCTGGAAGGTCTTAGGCTTTCCTTTACTTCCTTTCTATCAGTGCTTCTGAAATTACCTGTGGAGAAGGTACAGTTTTCATTGTATTATGAATTTATCATAACCCAGTACTTTTCTAAAACATGAATTAGTAGAAAAATGAAAATATACAAATAGAAGTCCATTTTTAATTATTACAGTCAACAGACATAAAATTATTCTGTTAAATTGCTATAAAAGTATCTAAACACTTTCAGTTTCTATACTTATTCATCATGGACCAGTATCAAATATCATGTGGACTGGCCCACTTTGATTCATGGCTTCCCCTTCCTGATTCTTGGTACGCTTTAGTGGTAGACAGCAGCATCTTCTCTAAACCCTGACAGAGCACCGTGAGCATTGGGTCTCTTGACTTGACCCTTAAGATGTGGATGAAAACTAATGGAATTTGGAAAATACTCTTCACAGGACCATGATCTGTCTTGCAAGGCTATTCTCATGCTGCAAACTCCCATTTTTGAACACCAGAAACTGAATATTACTTTTCTTTTTGCATTTCTCCTGTAATAAGTTCTAATGTGAGGGTACTTCAAAAAGTTCATGAAAAGATCTGTATTATCTTTCCACGAACTTTTTGAAGTACCCTCGCATACCTATGGCAGATGGGTGTCTTGGATGGATTGTGAAGGTAATGAGCTCAGAAAGGGAGAAGACAAAAGCACATTTATAAATTTCAGACTCTTATCCATTATTCTAATTTGTAACATGTGCAAAGAATGAAAAATATGCTCAGTTTTGTTAGTAAACCCTGATTTTTGCAGTTAGATTTTATTGCGTCAGCAAGAGGCTAGCATTATTTTCTTCTCAAATAGCCCCAAAGTTCATCTACTCATTTTCTGTCTTTTTGCAACCAAGAAAGTAATGTTAAGAAAATGATTATGTATTAGTCAGGTAGTAAAAGCAATAAGGTGTTTTCAATTTCTTTTTCTATAGGAATTACAGTTAAAAACAGAACAGGAAGAAGGTCTAAAATTGAAAACTGAGGACGTTGATGCCTTTAACTTGAAAAGGAGAAAAGGTTCATTTGGAAGTATAAACCAACTCCAGGTTTGTTGATTCTGTTTAGTATTTTTTGGTTTCTCTTTGATTTGATGATTGTCTAAATGGAGGTAAAAAGAGGTGGACTCTTCAAATTCTAGACCGTTTGCTTCACAAGTACAAAATTTCTAATATTTCTTCTGAAACTTTTGTTCTTTTTTTTTTTTTTTTCCTTTCCTTTTTGTCTTTTTTCGTGTCTGGCAACGGATCGCAACCCTCAGTGTCGCGCCCGTACCGGACCGGGACCGGCAACGGGATCGCAGCCCTCAGTGTTGCACCCGCACCTCGCTCAGCCTGTGAGCGGGAACCGGTCTATATGTGGGATCCGAACCCTCGGTGGGAGCGCTGCCGCGCTCCCAAGCGGCGCACTGTAGCAGTGCGCCACCGGGCTGGCCCTGAAACTTTTGTTCTTAAAAAATTATTTTCTCATCCAGAAATGTGTTGTATTCTTATTTCAGTAGAAATGGGTTTATTTGAATGTTGTGGAATGTAAACATGAAATCCATGTTCACTAGATTGTATTTATTCCCATGTAAAGACTGGTCTGCTCCTGAGGAGACAGGTATATTTCTAAAAATCAGAGTTCTACATTCAAACAGAACCAAATTGTATACGTACTACATGTAATATTTTAAAGAGCTATTATTTTACTGCCACATTTTAAAAATAGTCGTAATCCATAAACTAATTTTGAAGTTCAAAGAAGTTGAAAATTTTAATTTCATTTAAGAATACTGTACTTAAAATACTGTACTCAAAATGCAAATACATCCACCTTAATTTTGAAAATTTTATTCTCCTAAGTTTTATATATTATATTTTAATAGTGACTTTAGGATATTCTCCCCCACATCCTTCCCAACCAGAAATGTCATCAACAATCATAATTTTGGGGGGTTTTCTCCTTTTGGAATGGAACTTATAACAGATCTCTTATTCATCTTTCAAATCCCACTCATGGTAGAGGAATGTTTGTAGGATATGTTTAAGTTAATCGCTAGACTTCATAGGTTCACCTATTGGAGTTTCTAAAGTATTTCTATAGTTGCTTGTCTTGTTCCTAATCATTGCAGAGCTACTGTTTTAGGCTTCAGTGTTATTTGGATGTGATAGTGCTTTTAAGATCACACTATCTAGGTCTGGATAGAAAATTGAAGAACTCTGTATCTCCTTTGCCTTGGCCACTTTGTTCTCTTTTTCTTATGCATATTTACTATTTCATTGTCTTAATATAGATTTCTAGGAACACTTTCTTATCAGATTCATGAAGGAGTGGAAAATAGTACTGTACTGATTTGTTTTCATGTTTATTTGTTATTAGGTGACGTTGCTTCATTATGATCACTTGGTAGAGTTCATCTTGGACAGTCATATTTCATCCATACTTATGTTTGTACTTGTTTCTGGGTATCCTTAATTCAAAAGAGTACTAAGATTGGAGATCTTTCTAGCACTGTTTAGTTTATAATTATTTGAAGTTGACAAGCTACAGTGCAGATTGGGTTTCCTTCCATGCTCCGTCATCTGTCTTCCACTATCCGTATTCATTTATTCACTTCGTTGATGAATTAATTGAATTAATTAGGCATTCATTGAATTAATCAGGCATTCATTCACTCATTCATTTAACATTTTATTGAATGCCAGCTGTGGGCTACACAATATACCACACATTGTGGATAGAGAGGTGAAAAGTACAGCCCTTGCAGTCAATGAAGGAGCTCAAGTTGGGGAGACAGACTAGTAGAGCAACCACCATTATTTGTAAGTGCTTTGATGGAGGTATGCACCTCTGCAACAGAGAAAGATACCCAACATGTTCTTAAAACAGGCAAAGAAAATTGTCAGCCCTTTCTTTGTCAGGCCAAAAGCCCTAGACTCTAACATATTTGAGGAGTAAATTTTAAATTCCTTATACGACAACACAGCAACATGTTAACTAGAACCACTTCTCAGGGTTTCAGACAGGAGCATGACTTACTCTCACTGATCATTATTAAATGTTCATTTAAGAGATTTCAGCCAATCTGAAATTATATTATTACCATATAATGTTTATGGCAGAAGGAAAAACAAATGATAACTTTTTTTGGAATTTTAATGTAGAAATTGGATGAGCAAAAGAAATGGTTAGATGAAGAAGTGGAGAAAGTTCTGAACCAACGCCAAGAATTAGAGGAGCTGGAGGAAGACTTAAAGAGAAGGGAGGCTGTAATTTCTAAGAAGGAGGCCCTGTTACAGGAGAAGAGCCACCTGGAAAATAAGAAGTTGAGATCTAGCCAGGTATTCTATTTAATATGCTATTTGATTCTGTTATAAGCTATAAAAACTAGGATTTTTTTCCTCTAAGAAATAAATCATACCATTGTAAAGTTAGAAGCCAAAAGAAAACTTATTTTCAGTGTATTTTGCTTATTACAGCTTATCAAATGACCATCACTAAAATCTATTGTAATTTTTGAAGTAAAATGTTCAATGTTCTGTCAAGTATGATTCATTATTAACTTTTTTTTTGGTATTTTTTTATTATGGTAAAATATATAGAACATAAAATTTACCATTTTAATTAACTGTCTATTTCCCAAACTTTTTTATTACCCCAAATAAATTCTGTAATCATTAAGCAATAACTCCCCATTTCCTCTCCTCCCAACCCCTGGCAACCTCTAAAATTAACTTTAATGGGTGTTTAAATAAATTGTACATTTGACACTTTAATAGTGAACATTGGTAATTTGGAAAGATAGACTTCCAAAAAATAGACTTCTTGAAATCTATCTACCTGCCACTAATACCCAGAGTTAGGGGTTTGCGGGGTTCCTGTAAAAGAAGATTTTGTGTATTGAAGGTCTGTTTATTTTTAAAATTTTAAGGAATTGGGAACTTTTACAAAAATTTTTCCTGGAGTATTTGGATTTTTTTTTTTTCTCCCTTTTTGTCTTTTTTTGTGACCGGCAACGGGATCGCAACCCTCGGTGTCGCGCCCGCACCGCGCTCAACCAGTGAGTGGACTTGTCTCAATATGGGATCCAAACCCTCGGCGGGAGTGCCGCCGCGCTCCCAAGTGCCGGACTCTACCGAGTGCGCCACCGGGCCGGCCCTGGAGTATTTGGATTTTATGAGCCAAAAAAGTGGTTTTATTAAGGAATTTGCCTGAATTTCAACTTTTGAACAGAAATGATTGTGACAGGAGTAGAAGGACCAGGAACTATTCTTTTAGAGCTATCTATACATATTTTCAACAACAGCATCTAAAAATGAAGCTGGCTTGCCCCAGACTTGAAGACAGCTTTGTACCTGTCACCTTCACCTCCAGCCGGCCTTGGGTCCAAGGTCAGTCTGCATATTGAATCATGGAATACACAAAGGATCAGTGACCTGCCCCTCTATTAGACTAGCCTCTCAGTCAGCATCTAAACCAGTAGGATCTGAGTTGATGGTGGTGTGTCCTTAACTGCTCCACATTGATATAACAGGTTGATGGGGATGGGGACCTGTACTTACTTCAGCTCCATCTTCCATTTCCCAGTCCACATTGAAATAACTATTAGCACCAGGCCACTGAACACAGGATTAGGGGTGGGCCCTCCAACCTGCCTAAATGCTGATGCTGTATCCAGGAAGCTTGCTAAAACTGGCTGTCAGGGTCAAGTTGTGAAAGCTGTCCCTCAAAAAACATGTAGATGACATTAAAGGAGATTTAACAAGTTAAAATCTCAAGTGAATAAATAGAATAAAATCACCTGGACCTTTATGACATGTTCTGTATCAAAAAAGAAGAGGAAAAACATAAAAGGTATGTGGAGGAAAGTCTTTTTCCTGAAATAAGTTTACTTCATGATACAGAAAAAATAAATAAATGAAAACAGCTATGATATTTGTATGATTGATTTGTAATATTTAGAACATTGATTTGTAATATAAGAACATACTGAGATAAGTAGGGAGTGCAAATAAGTGAAAATCACAGTAGATCAAAGCAAAGTTAATGCTTTGAAATTTGTTTTAATGAAACAGAGGGGAAACTTGAGACAGTTAACCTGCTGGGTTCTTTTCTGAACAAAAGGCAGGAAAAGATTACATCTTTTCCAGTGTTTGAGAAATATTTATAAGACTTGATTATGTGCATTTCAGACAAGGCAGATGATAGTCTGAACACATGCATATTACCTCACTAAAATGACAGTAAAGGAATGCATTGGCACTATACACAAATTTAACTCAAAATGAATCATAGACCTACATGTAAGAGCTAAAAACTGTTACAAGAACAAATAGGCATAAATCTTTGTGACCATGAGTTAAGCAATGGGTACTTGGATATTATACCTAAAGCACAGGCAACAAAAGAAACAATAGATAAATTGGACTTTATCAAAGCTAAAAACATTTGTGATGTAAAGGACACCATCAAGAAAGTGAAAAGACAACTCACAGAATGGGAGAATATATTTGCAAATCATACATCTGATAAGGGACTTGTATCTAGAATATATAAAGAGTTATTACAACTCAATAATAAAAAGACAACCCAATTTACAAATGGTTAAAGGATCTGAATGGACATTTCTCCAAAGAAGATATACAAGTAGCCAGTAAGCATGTAAAAAGATGCCCAACATCATTAGCCATCAGGGAAATGCAAATCAAAACTTAAATGAGACACCATTTCACACCCACTAGGATAGTGATAGTGAGACAGTAAGAAGTGTGGCGAGGTGGAGGAATTGGAACCTTCATACACTGCTGGTGGGATTGAAAATGGTGCAGTTGCTTTGTTTTGGATAGCCACCTTGCAGTTCCTCAAAATGTTCAACATAGAGATACTATGTGACCCAGCAATTCCACTCCTGGGTATATATCCAAGACAAACGAAAGCATATGTCCACACAGAAACTTGAACGTGCATGTTCATATGGCAACATTATTCATAATAGCTAGAAAATGAAAACAACAAAAATGTTCATCAGCTGATGAATGGATAAACAGACTGTGATCTATCCACACAATGTAATTTTATTTGGCAACAGAAGGGAATGAAGCACTAATACATGCTACAACATGGGTGAACCTTGAAAACATATGTTACGTGAAAGAAGGCAGTAACAAAAGACTACCTTTTTATAATGCCATTTATATCAAGTGTGCAGAATATGCAATTCCATAGAGATAGAAAGTAGGATAGTGTTACCTAGGGTTAGTGGTGGTTTGGGGAGAAAATGGAATAACTGCTAATGGGCATGGGTTTCTTTTTGGGGGGTGACGAAAATTGATTGTGGTGATGGTTGCACAACTATGTATATACATTAAATCGGTGAATTGTATGGTATATGAATCTCATTAAAGCTATTATTTTTTAGGAAGCTATAACCCCATAAAGGGTAAAAGACAGTAAAGGTGATAAAAGAGGACAAAAGATTACCAAACAACAACAACAAAGCACTTATAAGATGGAAAGCAAATAGAGGAGAAGTTAACTTAGCAGAACAGAAGCTGCAATCCAAGTGACTAGAGAAGGACACAAATGAGAGCCTAAAACCTTTAAAAAATAACACCCCTCCCTGCCGCCAAGAAAACCCAGAATAACAGCTTTAGAGAGCTGTAACTCATGTAGAACATCAAAAAGATTCAGAAATGAAGAGACTGAGATTTTCAGAAGGCAGACGTGAGGCATAGCAATGAAAACAGGGCATAGTCAGGAAACTATTCTTTTCTCACTCTGGGACAAGATGATTTATTTTCTGAAGATTGAACCAGGCACAGCAGAGGGTCAGGGTGGTAAGTCAAAATAATTCCAAACAGGCAATGAATACGAATCTACACATGAATTCTTAGATGCTCATTTCCTAAGCCCCACTTGGATCCCAGAATGCTGGTAGCCAGATTTATACTTCTCAGCAAGAGCTCAAGAGATTTTCTGAAATAGTCCCTGAAAAAAGACCTAAAAATATTTACATTTGAGAGCCCCCAACTAAGTGGCCAGATTCCCATGTATATCCTACCACCACACATCTTATCAACTTTTTAATACCTGACTTGTAAATGTGATGGACGTTTCGGGAATGCCACCAACACTGAAGACAAAGACCAAAACAAGGAAAAAAGGAACTCACAAAAATTAGAGATAGAACAAGCTAAAAAAAACCTTAATATCTTCAATGTGGTTAAAGATGATAGTCTACCCATAAAATAAGAACTGCAGGTTATTAAAAACATGAAAAAACTCTTGGAAATGAAAAGGGTTAGAGGATAAAATTGAGGAAATATCCCAGAAAGTAAGTAAAAAGATAATAAAAAATAGGAGAAAAAAATTTTAATTGGCAGATAAATTCAGAAAGCTCAAGGCAGGAGATTATCAAAGACATAATACAAAAATTTTCCCAACACTGATGAAGAGAGATTCTAGATTGAAATAGCCCTTCAAGGGCCCAGTAAAATGAGTGCCCGAAGCATATCATGATGGTTGGAGTACACTGAGGAGAAAAACGATCCTGAAAGCTTCCAGATAGAAAAAGACTAGTCACTTGTAAATCTCAAGAATTAGAATGGCATTGGACTTCACAGCTTTCTTCATTACAAGCTAAAAGACCCAGGGTTGTCTGGGTAGCTCAGTTGGTTAGAGTGTGGTGCTGATAGCACCAAGGTTCAGGGTTCGATCCCCATACCAGCCAGCTGCCAAAAAGAAAAAAAAAAAGGTAAAAGACCTGAAGCAATTTTTTTTTTCCTTTTTGTCTTTTTTCATGACCGGTAACGGGATTGCAACCCTCAGTGTCGTGCCCGTACCGTGACCGGCAACGGGATCGCAACCCTCGGTGTCACGCCCGCACCGCGCTCAACCAGTGAGCGGACCAGTCTCCATATGGGATCCGAATCCTTGGCGGGAGCGCCGCCATGCTCCCAAGTGCCGCACTCTACCGAGTGCGCCACTGGGCCGGCCCGCATTAGTGTCGTGCCCGTACCGTGACCGGCAACGGGATCGCAACCCTCGGTGTCACGCCCGCACCGCGCTCAACCAGTGAGTGGACCGGTCTCTATATGGGATCCGAACCCTCGGCGGGAGCACCACCACACTCCCAAGCGCCGCACTCTACCGAGTGCACCACCGGGCCGGCCCGACCTGAAGCAATTTTTAAAATCATGAGGAAAATGATTTCCGATCAATAATTCTCAGCCAAACTCTCAATCAAATGTGAGGGTAGAATAAGGACATTTTCAGGGTAAAAAGGTCTCGCATCAAGCCTGTTTCAGGAAAGTAGTGGAGGATTTGCTCCACAAAAATGAGGGCATAAACTATGGAAAAGGAAGACTTGGGATCCTGAAAATGTGATCCAATATGGAAATTCCCAGGAAATAACACAGGGAACTGGGTCCAGTTTAGAGCAGGAGGATGGAGTCTCCAGGCAAAATATTTCCAGGAAAGAATGGATTGAAAAGATTCCTAAGTTTGATCAAGTGAAAAAAGCATGGACAGGAATTTCTTTTCCCCCTGTGGCTGGCCAACACAGGGATCTGAAGCTTTGGCCTTGGTGTTACAAGGTGCCCTTCTAACCTACTGAGCTAACTGGCCGCCCTGTGGCCAGGAATTTATAGTTGTACTGGAGAAGAATTAGTTGTAAAGTACTAAAAAAAAAGTTGTATCAAATGGAAGTATGATCATTTTATACTAGATAGTTCATTTATAAATGTTAGTCACAAAGTTATGATAATGTAAATGAATATTGATTTAACTAAAAACTGTAATATAACTTACATTGAGAGAATGGAATGAGAGGGGAAGTAGAGAAGAAGAGGTATAAGAGAGCTAGATCCTTACCTCCCTAATCACTCAGTCAATAGATGGTATCCAAACTTGATGTTATTTAGAAACGTGGACATAGGCACTGGAAGAAACAGCAAAAAAGGTTTAAGGTGCTTACTTCTGGGAAGTGAGACTCAGGTGAGCAGCTGGGAGAGGGGACTGCTTTTTTTAAATTATAAACCTTATAATAGTGTGTGTGTATATATATATATATTATAAACCTTATGATAGTATATATATATATATGTGTGTATATATATATATATTATAAACCTTATGATAGTATATATATATATATGTGTGTATATATATATATATGTATATATATGTAATATATATAATTACTGTGATGAAAAAAAATATTTTAGAACTTATTAGGCCATAATGAATATTTCCATAAATCAGGCCATGTTTTCTGACCAGAATGAAAAAATAGTACCTTGGGATACAAAGCAGAGTAGAGGGTAAAGGGAGAGGCGGAGGGAGATTGGGGATATTTGGGTGGGGGACATGGGGTACAAGCACAATTTGTGGGAATGGGCATGCTGCCAATATGGATCTGGCCTTCACATCTTGGGCATGAGGGGTGACAGTCAACTTTGTATCATGAATATTCATAACCAATAAAAAATAATAATAAAAAATAAAACATACTATGGTATTTAGGAAGAAAGAAACAATTATTAAAATTGCTTCTCTCTATAGCAAATTAGAGACACAATCCCTACTTTTTTCCCATCCAAACTAGTTCTGAATTTGAACATTTTTTCAAATTTTATATTCACTTCAATCTGTGCCCTGAATATTCAGGCAGCCCTTTTAATTTTGGTTTATTGAAAAACTCTTCATAACACATACATTTACCTGTCTCTCCTTTTGTAAATAAAATATGAAATATTTGTACTATTGTATTTACAAATATATTTCAAGGAACACTAACAAAAATTTCTTTGAATGCTCCCCTGTAGCTATCTTAGCATTTAAAACACGGCAACAAAAGAGCTAGACAAAATATTTTTGATATGTCTCTGAACCTTTGCTAGAATTCTTGTCCTAAATAAACTAGAAATAATTCTTAATTTTTATAATAATTTACAAATATTTATTACTCTCAAAAAATTCAACCAACTCAACCAAATTAGAGTATCATAATCACTGAAGATTATTTTCTAGATCTTACTATATAATAAAATTCAGAATAAAGAAAATGAAAAAAAAAAGAATAGTTCGAATGTACATTTTTTTGAAAAAGGCATTCAACTTAAGATTTTAGAAAATAACCCCCCCCCCAAAAAAAAAAGTTCATGGGAGAAAACAGTAATATAAAAGCTAAAAATGTATTCATTTAGTAATTTTCTCTATGTTTTTCCTAATTTACATGCAGTAACTTTTTGTGGTGTAACTGTTTTGGGCGTGTCTGGTGGGTTGTGTCTTTTTAGGCATTAAACACAGATAGTTTGAAAATATCAACTCGCCTGAAATTGTTGGACCAAGAGTTGTCTGAAAAGAGTGTGCAGCTGCAGAGCAGCCCAGCTGAGGAGAAAATCAAGATTTCAGAACAAGTTGAAGCCCTTCGGAAAGAAAAGGATCAGCTCCAGAGACGAAGAAACAGTGTGGATGAAAAACTTAAAAATGGTAGCGTGTTGTCACCTGAAGTAAGTCAGTATTCTCTGGAGCTGAAGGTGCTATATGATGGATCACTTGGATGATTTCCTCGGTCTCTGTCACATAATCATAAAAATGATAAATCCGGTAAACTTTGTTTCCTGGAGACTTTGTCAGATGTAATGAGTTCACCTGGCACCTGTGTGGTGTCATTAACCATACTTGACTAGAGACTGAGATGTCCTCACACAGCAGTCCGTGGATGTGGTCCTTTCCTGGCATTGCCAGGCTTTAGAAAACTAATATTTTCCCTGAGTATGGCCTTCTCAGCTGGGGTTTCTCGTCTGAAATCACAGAACACAGAAAATTATATGAGGGACTCTTTTTCTCGATTATTCCAAGGAGGGCACGTCTCTCTATGTATCTTTCTTGAATGACACTAGGTATTTCATTACATACAACAGATGCCTAGGGCATTAAGGGTTAATTCTTTCCATGGAACCTTGAAAAAAAGCCCAGTGTTTGGGAGCATATTCCACACTATGTCCACAAAATAGACACACAAAATTCAAATCCGAGTAAAATACCTTTTTGTTATACTTTTCATTTAGGTGAGCATATGGCTCCTCTCACTTTTATTTTATTTTTTTTAACTATGTAAAAGATGATTCATTTCTTGGCTATCAAATTGCCCCAGACTTTGTCTTTTTTTCAAAATTTTAATTCAGTTGGCAACGGTACCTATACCTTACTTTGTCAAAGATAAATTTTTGAGCCTGAGTTTTCTTTGCAAATATTTATTATTGATGTCTTGTCATTACCAGAGCAAGGACCAGAGCAAGGGAAAATTGCTAAGAGAAGGTGAGTAGCTGAGAATCACATGCCTTGCTGAATCTTATAGTGTTTTGGATTGGAGCAAGTGAGAGGAAGTTAAGGGGACTAGTTAAGATGAAACAGGAGAAAGGATAGCATGAATTAGATTATTGCTTATTGAATTGGTGAGAAGAATTGAAGACTTATTTGGTTAGGGGCTGAGAGGCAGCTGAAGGAGCATTATAAGACTTTACTGCCCTGTTTCATAACTTAATTTGGAAACTACACTTAGAGGATCACAGAATCAGGAGGTGTTAAATTGGAGCACCATGCTTGTAGATTTGAAGGTATGAGAGCATAAGATGTAGCAAAACTTAATTATTTAAGGAATTTTGGCTGCCCAGGACTGTTACTAGGCCCTATGGAAGAAGTAAAAAAAGTGGAAAGTATTATACTTTCTTTGAGAAATTCATACTCTATCTGGGAAAAGAGAGGAATATAAGAAAACTCTAAACCATGAAGAACAAAACAGCAAGTTATGGATAATGTTATAAAGCTATAGTTATTACATCATTTGTGCAAAGCAATGCAGTGATTATTTGGGGGAAGATTCATCAAGGCAGCCTTGGTGGATTGGAATCTTAAACTGGAATATGAAAAAATATGATATGCACTGGCAGATAAAAGAAAAAGGCCATTTTAGATAGAACATTGTTAAATAAGGCGTAGAGACGGAAATGAGCAGGTGTTTGCAGAAGGGTAGAGAGGTCCACTATTACTGAGAAGCATTTAGGTTTCTATTTCATGTGGAATTTTGTAACTGGAAACATTATTTATGGATTGCTGGGGAAAACACAGCACTGTGCATGATACCTATTTATTTATTTATTTATTTTAAGTTTTCATACATCATAATGTTTTTTTTTTTTCATGTAGTATTTACATTCTTTTCTTTTTTCTTTTTTTATTTTGTCGATATACAATGTGGTTGATTATTGTGGTCAATTATCGAAACCTCCCTCCCTCCACCCTCTCCCCCCTCCCTCCAAACAATGTCCTTTCTGTTTGCTTGTCGTATCAACTTCAAGAAATTGCAATTGTTATGTCTTCTTCCCCCTACCCCCGTTTTTTTTTTGTGTGTGTGAATTTATTTATTTATTCTTAGCTCCCACCAATAAGTGAGAACATGTGATATTTCTCTTTCTGTGCCTGACTCGTTTCACTTAATATAATTCTCTCTAGGTCCATCCATGTCATTGCAAATGGCAGTATTTCATTTTTCTAGCTGAGTAGTATTCCATTGTGTAGATTTACCACATTTTGCATATGCACTCATCTGATGATGGACACTTGGTCTGGTTCCAGCTCCTGGCTGTTGCA